GCAATAAAACGGGAACATTTTCAGCTACCCACCATAGAGGACATCACTACACGTATGGCAAATGCAAAATGGTTCACCAAGCTAGATGCTAACCAAGGATACTGGCAGATACCTCTTGATGAAGAAAGTCAACTTCTAACCACCTTCAACACACTGTTTGGGCAGTACTGTTATCAAGTCACTCCATTCGGAATCACATCTGCCCAAGAAGTTTTCCAAAAGCGGATGAGTCAACACTTCAGCGACTTGGAAGGAGTTGAAACCGACATCGATGACATAATAGTGCATGCAGAAACAGAAGAAAAACATGACCATCATCTACAAGCGGTCCTGGAACGATGTGAGAAGATTAACCTAACCCTAAACAAAGAAAAGTGCATTTTCAAACTCAAAGAAGTCACCTACATTGGACACAAACTCACGCAAGAAGGATTCAAACCAGATGATGAAAAGGTGCGTGCTACAAAACGACATGCCTGCACCAACTGGTAAAAAAGGAGTAGAAAGACTCCTTGGAACTATCAACTATCTGGGCAAGTTCATTCCCAATCTGGTAACCGTCACTGAGCCTATCAGAATTCTGCTAAGAAAGGACATCGAATTTCAGTGGTCATATGAACAAGACAAAGCACTACAAGAAATCAAAAATATCCTAACCAAAGATGGAGGGCCAGTCTTGAGATTTTTTGATGTTCAAAAACCTGTTACCATCAGCTGTGATGCCTCCCCAACCGGTCTAGGAGGGGTGCTACTACAAGGTGGACGTCCTGTTGCATATGCTTCAAGATCCCTCATGGATGCCAAATCAAGATATGCTGAAATAGAAAAAGAGCTCTTAGCTATTCAGTTCAGCCTAGAACGTTTCAACTAATACACCTATGGCAAGAAAGTCACCATAGAATCAGATCACAAGCCCCTTGAGGCCATTGTTAAAAAGGCATTGGCATCAGCACCACCAAGATTGTAAAGAATCCTACTAAGAATGCAGAAGTATGACTATACATTGGAATACAAACCAGGAAAAGAGTTAATACTTCCTGACATGCTCTCCAGAGCACCATTTCCCGAGACAACTTCTGGCGGCATGGAAGAAGAAATTGCATAT